CAAATTATCTTTGCACTCATCAATTATTCAGCGTGTGTTTGAGAGAGAGAGTTTTTGGTGCTGCCTGTGCATGTCTCGTCTTGCTGGGCTCCTCAAGTATATATCAGAAAGCTGTCAAACTATATACACAGATTCACCATATTATATTATATTATATTATATTATATTAGTAGGTTGGTGAATGCAAGCATTGCCTGCTATGTATAAGCACAAGGAACATATTAGCCCCTTAATATCAAAAGAGGTGCATTAGATGTCAGGAGCAGGAGGGCTAGAGAGTAAAACAGTTGGTTTGGGGCTTTTCAGTACTAACAACAAGTGAGCCGTAAAGACCAGAAGTTAAATCATATTTTAATTAAAGTTTCGTGGTGAAAAATATCCATTTATTTCAGTGGATGGAATCTTCAGAGTGTGAGAAGCAGACAAAAACCCTTTTCTTTCTTTAACCTTATACTGAGTGCACAGTTTTCACTCTGTAGGCAACATTTTATAACCATTTGGAGAGCAACTTCTTTGGCACTCATGATTATTAAACCAGGTGCATACAAATTATTGTTTTTCTTTCATAAGTCGTTTCTTGAGAGTAGTGCTGAGTGAAATTTCTCACTATTTTTTTCCACTATAGTTACACAGAGTCCAATTGCTGTGGTAACCATAGATGCTTAACTGACAGGTGTGAACAACTGACATATATTCATTAGAAATTAATCACTCTAATTAGTAGATTTGTATTTTTCCTCTCTTTGATTGGTGGATGTGTTTTCACAGCCTGTCTCTCTCAGACAAGTATTTGAATGTGACTATAATACCTGGCCCGAAATAGACCTGCAACATTTTCAGTCTATCCAAACCAATTTTTCTATGTGTCAGTATCCCTGGCTGTCTGTATTTTTGAGTATGGATATATGGTACCGGGAAACGCAAACACATTTCTTTTCAGTCAGTCATCTTAAGTCAAGATCAGGTCACACTAGAGTTTAAAGGCAAATCATCACAGCTTCAAGTGTGTAAGCTGACATTCACAGTTTAAACCTGCTCTTCTATTCACACACATATGTAATAGTGGATTTAAAAAAAATAAAAACCTGACACTGACTTACAGAAGAGGACTAGATTTTCAAGCATCTGGTCACCCTGCCTTGGGTTTTCAAAATAAATACACTTATAGGAAATAAACTGGACTTTTTAAAGTGTTACGTTTTTAAAAAGTCACTAATTATCAAATGTTTTAATGTAATGACATTGCCAAAATATAAGAGCCCCTAATTAGTTTCAGAATTTCAGATGTTTGAAATGATCAGAATTTAAAAATAAACTTAACCCATGATTTATGTAAGTGTCATGGCAGGCAGGTTTTGGACCCAAAGGCAGGACTAATGCTGAATTCTAACATAATACAAAATAATGCAGGTGCAGACACAAGATAACTTCTAGGACAACTTCTACAATCTTCTAGGAGGCAAAACTGCGAGGGAGAACACGACCGAGAACAGAAGCAAAGTGAGGGTATAAGTACAAAAATGGAGATCAGGGCAGAGTGGAAACACCTGAGGAAACACAGCTGAGCTGATACTAACCAATGAGACAAGGGGAAGCAGAACTGAACCTAGCTCACGCGAGACAAGGGTCTATCAAGATAAAACAGAAAGTAATAAAGACTGGGACCAGGACTTAGACATACTAACATGACAGAACAAAACGGGACACAAAACACAAAGACAGGACACTGAGGGACCAGAACAACATGGGAGCATGAGAGGGGAGTCAGAAAGGGATACAAACACAGAGAAGAGACTAGGACAGGCTGGATATGAATGGAAACTAATATCATCATCAGAAAAGCATAGAAAAAACCTCAAAAGCACTAGGGAACAATAAAATACTTCAAAGAATGAGATATAGAACAGGAACATAAATCAAATCCCAAAAGAAATGAATCATGAGTCCACAACAAAAACTCGAAATGCTGGGTCAAAAACCAGCATTCATCTTTTTACCCTATTATTATCAACAGCTATTTGCCCCTAGCTTTTTTTTTTTTTTTTAGCAACAATTCCTCTGTAGTCTTGTCTTTCACACTCTCCAGACGTGGCATAGTTTAGTTTTTTTTAGTGCTGCTTAAAATTGCTTTGGCCAAAAATGTGTGTAGGAAAAACCCTGCATATTTCCTACACTGATTTTAGTCGTTTCCTTTCAGTCAAATATATTTATGTTAACCTTGTAAAGAAGAATCTACAGGCATCCAGATATTTCTAACCTTATATCGCCTCTACTGGCTCTTTCATTATGACGAAGCAGTAGTTATATTCAGAACATACCATCCAAGATTAAAAGATCAAAGATAGTCTTTTACTGTGACCACCAAACTGTTCCAGTGAAGCGTATCCTGTCTGCAGTCACCGGTACTCATGACATGATCAGTTATCATGGCGGTTCTTTTGCTTTGTTGCAGATTCAGAGATTTTGTGGGAAAAGCCACAAACTACAAATTGCATTTCTTCAGCGTCAGAGAAAAAACAGGCAAATAGGAGCTCATGAAGAGACCTCGTTTCAGTGGGAACCTTTATTGTTTTATTCTTAATGATAACATCAACATAGCCATGTACTTACAGCTCCATGTTTCAGGTTTTCATAAACATTTGCCTAAAGGTTTGCCTCATTATTAATTTCCAGAAATGGGCTGTCTTGCTGATTCAATAATTTACTTTTTCCTCTTTTGCAGGTTGTCAGGATTCATGCTGCCCTCCCCTGTAGTCAGCAGTGGATCCATTTTGGCCTTGTGGTTTACCACAGATTTTGCTGTGAGTGCACAGGGTTTCAAAGCTGTGTATGAAGGTAAGAAAACGTGCCATTGTGTTCATGTGTATGAGTGGTCCTTTCAGAGATAACAGTGATAAATTGGAACCTGCATATTGTTGGTATGGTGCTGAAAATGTATTGTACTGTAAGATTTTCAAGAAAAGATTGTGTAAAAGTCCTTTTTGTTATACGATAGTTACAGGTCCTGTAACTTGTGTGTGTGCTGAGACTTTGACCATACTAATGGAGCTGAATGTAATGCTTAACACTTTGTTTGCTGTTGTTTTTGTTTAGAGGTTTTTCTATTTTATCAGTGATTAATCAAACATCTTCTCAGTGATGACCTGGTGTTTTGGATTAGAAAATAGAGCAGGAGAAATTATTTGGGGTTTTTTTAGTTTTCTTTTTTTGATGGAGTCAGTCAGGTGTGGCTGTTTGTAGCTCTAGAAATCAGGCAAGCAAACTCTCAGTTGATCAAGCACTTATAAGCATCCAACAAATTTGTGTACGATTAAGGTGAAGCTCCATAGATTAGCTATGCTTTTGATTTATGGGATTAACTGTTCATTTTCATAGTTCTGCATGACCGAACCTGGGCTTGCAGCCCAGAGCTGTTGTTTTGGCCATCAGTCGATTAGTTGGAACTACTTAAATACACCATACATTATATATGTATACAAATACTATATCCATGCATTCATTTTTCTTTATTGTGATTTCCACAATAAGAGTTGAATGTTCAGTTTTGATGTGTCTCTTATGTGTGTGTGTTTTGTACAAAAGACTGTTCCATGTCTGCGTGCCTGGTACGACACAAATCCTTAGCCTGACCTTTGGAAGATGTGCATACACACATGGAGTGCACTCTTAAACATATACATATATATTTCATTACGTTTGTGTAACAGTTCATCTATGAATGATGAACTTTAAATATCAAAGACTAACTCAAGAGACAGGATCTTCACACTGACTCCAGTGTGTGAGTGCATGTTTGTTTCACGTAAATGTTATTCTCTGTGCACATCTTCTTCTTCTTTTTGCAGTGTGTCTGTGTGTGTTTCTAGATGTGTCCCATTCATGTGTTCATGTATATTGAAAGAAAACCCTTTCTTACCTTTGTTCCTTTTCCCATCTGTGGGGACCCTTAAGTGTGTTTATAGCCTCAGGATTGATTGGTAGTGCGTTTTTTAGAGACTGTGTGTAAATCCAAGCAAGACATGGCATTTATAAATAGTTTGGGTTGTCCTGTCTATAGTTGGGATTGTCTGTCATGTGACCTATCTATATCCGTACAGTATGTGCAAGCACTAGTACTGAACACATGATTTTTACAGCCTGTGCATTGCTGCAGAACCTCATGCTCTGTTCAAATAATACATTTACGTTCCTCCGTATTTTATCAATCAAAAAGCAGAAAGATGAAGAAAGTATATCTGAAAGGGGCAGTTGGCTTGCATTAGGTGTAATAATTTATTTGTTTCACAATTTCACTCTCTTTCGGTTTCCTGACAGCATAAGCAGACAAATATCGAAATGATAATTGTTTTGGGGGGAGCAATGGGAGCAGGACAGAAACAAAAAATGACCACAATAGCTGCAAATCATGCTAACAGTTACAAAAATATCGAAAAGAAAAAGTATAGTAAAAATTGGATTTTATCAATATATATATCTCAGAAGATCCAGAGATTTTGAGCCAAGTTACTGAAAGACAACATGAAGGGCAAAGTAAATTCTAATATAAAGATCAGGTATTAATCTGTTCCATTTCTTAAACTGCCTGACAATTTCAGAAAGAACTGGGAACGATCAGAACATGGGGTACCACCAGCATCCCCTGCCCCGGCAGCTGCTGGAGTGAGCGGTCGGTACGGTGAAAGTCTGTGCTGGTGCAACACCACCATGCACCCCGGGCCAGGCATGCGCATCCGGTACACCACTTCTGTTAGCTGGTCCACGACCTCCGCCGGCCCTTTCCAGTGGCTGCAGAGCTTGGCGGACACTCCTCTCTTGCAAACCGGGCAGTACACCCAAACCTTGTCACCAGGCACGGAAGCTCCCCCTCAGCACCTGGTGTCGTAGGCTCTTTTCTGTCGTACTCTGGCACTGGCCTGGGGCTGGCAGGTGTAGTCATGAACCACCTGCAGCCGCTCCCTCAGCCTCCTGTAGTAGTCCATCTCTGGCCCACCATCAATCCCTGGCTCGGGGGGACCCGAACACCAAATCTACGGGCGTCCGGAGCTCCCATCCGCTGCAGGCGTGCACTGGCTGGACTCCTGAACCGCAGTCCGATACGACCAAAGGACCAGGGGCAGATGTCGGTCCCAATCCCGCTGGTGGAGGCTGTTGAGAATGGCAAGCTGGGTGGCCAGCGTGCGGTTGAAGCGCTCGACCAAGCCATCGCTTTGCGGGTGGGGTGGGGTGGTTCGCGTCTTCTCCACCCCCAGCCGCCGACAGATCTCCCTAAAGATCTTCGATTCGAAGTTATGCCCCTGGTCACTGTGGAGCTCAGCCGGGACCCCAAAACGGGTGAACATCTCCTCCACCAGTTTCTCTGCCGTCGTGGTTGCACTCTGGTCTGGCACCGCGTAGGCCTCCGGCCACTTTGTGAAATAGTCCATGGCCACCAACACATACCTGTTCCCTGACTCGGTGACAGGGAAAGGCCCTAGGACGTCCACTCCCACTCACTCCATCAGGGCCCCAACCAGGTACTGCTGCAGTGGGGCAGTGGAGCGTTGAGTTGGGCCCTTCAGCTGCTGTGTGGTCAGTGGGAGCCATCCCCCTCCGCTGGCTGTGGCCTGAGCAGTAGCCACGCCCAGTGCCTCCTACTGCCGCTCCTACTGCCGCCGACAGTAGCGGCACTCGACAGCCATGCGGAGAGGGCATCAGCGTTGCCATGCTGTCGACCTGAGCCAAGTTAAAGATGCATGGTCAGTGCACAGGAGGAACCGGCAGCCGTGCAAGTATGGCCAGAAGTGCCGCACCGCCAGCACTATGGCGAGCGAGGTCTCTTTCGCCAACAGCTGGCACTTCGTAGGATTGAGTCGCAGCCCAGCTTGTCGGATGGTACTGAAGGCCTCGCTCAGGTGGGACAGTGCGCTGCCGAAGTTGCCACGTGCACCAACAGGTTATCCAGGTACACAACGCAGTGGCTACAAGGGATGTTCACGAGCACCCTCTCCATCAGCCTCTCGAACATCGTTGGCATTGCAGAGCCCAAATGGCATGACCTTGAACTGCCACAGCCCCTGTCCGATGGTGAATGCAATCTTAGGCCTTGCTTCGGAGGCTAGCTCCACCTGCCAGTAACTGCTGCATAGGTCGAGGGAGATGAACCAGCTGGAGCCGGTAATGTAATCCAGGGCCTCGTCGATCCGCGGAAGCACTGCACTGCACTGAGATGGCGAAAAATCCACGCAGAACCTCGGGCTGCCATCCTTCTTTCCCACCAGGGCCACGGGTGCCGCCCATGGGCTGTTGGATGGCTCAAACACCCCAGCCGCAATCATCTCACAGATCTTTTCCTCCGCCACCTGCCGTTTCGAGAGGGGCAGCCGGCGTGGGCGCAGACGGATGGGTTGAGCAGAGCCGGTGTCGACGGTGTGCTGGACCAGCCCCGTCTGCCTGCAGTCTTTGTCACTGATGGCAAAGATGTCCACATTCTCATTCAGGAGGCACCTGAACTGCTGGCGTTGGTCAATGTTAAGACCTACACTGCTGCGCTGCCACAGGTCATCAATAGCCTTGGTTGTCTCAGTCGAGGGAGGTTTGTCGGGCTTAGAGGCTGGGGCTGAGGTGAATAGAGATGATCCAGAGCTACCGGCACCCGAAGTCTGTTGAGCGGCAGCTGCCAGAAGCCTGGCTTGTCTGTCTCTGGTCCCCCCCATTCCCAGCTTTTGACTGCCCTGGAGGGCCAGAGTCTCTGTACTAAGAGTGATGGCCAGCTTCACGGTGTCAACGCAGGTCCCCCAGCGGGTCAGCAGATCAAGGTCGATGATGCACTGATCTTGGACGTCAGCAAGCCAGAAGTCATGCACCAGCTCCAGATCCTTCACTCGGATCTGCAACGGTTTCTTCCCCCGCAAGTCAGTTCTCTCTCCCGTCACCGTCATCAGCTGGTCGGTGGGTGACCAACCCATCACAAGTGGCCTGGACGTTCCAGGGTGTACACCAGGTCGTATTAGGGAAATGGTAGACCCCGTGTCTACCAGGGCCCGGCAGGGCTGGTCCTCAACACGGCAGCTCAGGTAGTGTCCCTTGAGGTGCCCGACTTGGTCCACTACCATGCATCATCCTTGGAGGGGGGCAGGAAGCTGGAGCGGTGGTCCTCTCACTACACCACGCTGTCGGGACCCGTTGGGGGACTTACATGGGTGGTCGCTTCCTCGCTCCTCAATCGCCAGCTCCCCAAGCAGCGAATGCTCTCCTCGACGGCTTGCTCCAGCCTCTGAATGTCTCTCTTCATTCCGGCCAGGGTGAGCTATCCCACTTCTGACACCAATGTGGCGAGCTCAGGCAAGGAGACAGAGGTGTCGTTGGTCTTGCTTCCCCATATTGCCAGGGAGCACAGCAGTTTATTTTCAACAGAAAATCACTGCCGCTAACCCAACTGCTTGGCGTAGCTCTAGCATAACAACAAGAAGAAAAAGGCGCTCTCTCACCCAGAAAACACACAGTCGCAGAGAGAGCGCGTCACATGGTATTCATGGCAACATAACGCTGCCACCTGAAACAACAGAACACAGCTGTCAAACAAAACCCAAACAGCCCTGACCCGCTAAATTATGAATGTGGCCATGGCTTTTTGACCTGCATAACAGAAAAACACTTCTTAGCTGTCTCATCAAGAACTTCACTTTAAAGCTTGGCATAAAAAATATAAAAAACGTCTCTGCTCCTGTCAGCAATTAGGCAAAATCCAAATCAACAATTATATTTAGTTTTAAGATATTTCAGTGTTGTTTGATTTCTTCTAATTCATTAAGAAAGTGGGACCACCTAAAATGTTCGGATTCAGATTTGAAGGGTGAACGTGATGTTAGGACTGTGCATTTAACGGTTAAGCCATGTGAATATACAGACTACACTGTCAATGTCTAAAAAAATAAAAACAAAAAAATATGTCAATTTGAATATTATTCTAAAAAAATGTTAAGAATGTGTCACAAAGACAGGAACTTGAATTCATAACTATTTAGTATTTACTGTCACTATTGGAGACTTTTATGGGGGGACTGCATGACAGTGAGACTGTTAGACTGACTGGAAGTAATGGTCTTCCTGATTTGAACCCAAGTATTGATTTGATATTGGACTTCAGGGCTCATCTCAGTTTGTCTACAACAAACACCATGTTTGAGCATAAGTATACTTGGCACCAGGACACCCTAGGTTTTAACTGCATCATCAGATCTTTACCTATGTCTTTGACACATAAGTAAAAGGTGGAGCTGAGCTGCTAACTTATCACCACCTGATGGTGAGTTGGATTACATGTAGCAAAGGTGCCCTCAGAGTATCTAGCAAAACCCTATTTGCCAGGGATCTTCAACTCGCAACTAAGCTTCGGCAGCACTCCAAAACAGGATTGGGAACATTAAGTCTGAGTGGATAATGTTTTCCACCTTCATTGTTGCCATGTCATGTCAACAATACCAGAAACAAATGTTGCTGGCCAGTGTTGTCACACTTAAGAAGCTGTCCTATCAAGTTTATTTGGCTCGTGGGACCCTGCAGACAGCAAATAGGCACCAGCAGACAAAGCAGAGTATGACTCTGACAGTGACTGATTGAAAAACATAGGTGTGTGTAGTTAAGAGGGGCTTTGAAACAAGACTTTCTGTTGACCTCGAAGGGCTTCTGACACCCTGTCGGACGACTCTGGAGGTAGAAGCAACTTTCTGCCTACACTGTTTTTGGTTTGGATGAGGTGCTTCTGACTTCAACTGGGGATATAATCAAGCTGTGAAAGGGATACTCAGTAGGGTTAGAGATCTCCTCAATCTGATAGACATGCCTTCAGTAGAAAGCACAGAGTCTGTGTATGAGGGGATGACTCGGTCATTCAAGTAGTTAAACAAAAAAAGTCTCTGGTGGCTGCACCCCTTGGAAGGATGACATTCACCTGATTCCCCTTAAGGATGTCGTGGGGCTATTCTGGTTGACACTCATTTTGCAACATTATCTGGAAGTTGGGGACAGTGCCCTTGGATTCCTGAAAATATGTGTCTCAGTCCTCAGCAAATCTTTCACTATCCTTTATCAGATTGCCTCCTTGTCTTTCTTTTCCCATGACATTCTCTTCTACATTACTTAAGAGGTTTTTTTGTACCTTTTCATTTAAACTGAACCACACTAGAATAGAATCCATTTTTTCTATTGCCGTTAACAACCAGTCTCTGTCTGTATATGCCCCTGTCTCTGCTCACATAGCCAATTCACTTAACAAATCTTCTCTCAGTTCTATCCTTTTATTAAAGGAGACCAAATTGAACTATAAGTCTGAGCACATAGCTTACTGATAAGACCCCAGTCACCTAAGAGAGGGATAGATAGAGTGAGAGGAGAAAGAAGGGGGGGTTGGGGTAGGTGGGTGCTGTCAAATAAAGCTATAAGTGGTGAAAAAGCAAGCCTTACTGATAAAAAAAGCAGGTTTGCATACCAACTCTGCAAGGCACGATAATCATCAATTAATTTCCCCTGAAGCAGAAAGAGAAAGAGGGGAAAGAAAAATGCAGAGAAAGAAGTAAATAGAGATTCTGAAAGAGAGAGAGAGGTGTAGAGATAGATAACCAAGAAGATTGGGGAAGAGTTGATAAACAGAAGGGTGGCATTCATATCTGTCTATATTTCTCATTTGTTGACTTCACGACACAATATAATACCAGAAGACCAACATCCAAAATGAGATCACGATCACTCTCCCCTTAAAAAAAACAAAAACAAAAAAAAAAACAGAAGACACGACTGGAAGAAGGAGAAAAATGAGAAGTGCTTCACTCATCTTTTATTAACAGTCATGATGCTATGATGGCGTTTGGGGGGTCCTGAATTTAGAATTTTTGTCACATGCAATTCTC